CGACCGGAAAAGGGTGGCTTGCCAACTCCGGGTCGGGGGAGAGGTCCTACCTCAAGTGGAGGAGTTTAAGAATCTCGGGGTCTTGTTCACGAGTGAGGGTAGGAGGGATCGGGAGATCGACAGGCGGATCGGTTCGGCGTCTGCAGTGATGCGGACGCTGAGCCGATCTGTCGTGGTGAAGAGGGAGCTGAGCCAGAAGGCCAGGCTCTCGATTTACCGGTCGATCTACGTCCCAATCCTCACCTATGGTCATGAGCTTTGGGTAATGACTGAAAGAACGAGATCGCGGATACAAGCGGCCAAAATGAGTTTCCTCCGTAGGGTGGCCGGGCTCAGCCTTAGAGATAGGGTGAGGAGCTCGGACATTCGGGAGGGACTCGGAGTAGAACCGCTGCTCCTCCGGATCGAAAGGAGCCAGTTGAGGTGGTTTGGGCATCTGGTCAGGATGCCTCCTGGATGCCTCCCTGGGGAGGTGTTTCGGGCATGTCCTGCCGGCAGGAGGCCCCCGGGTCGACCCAGGACACGCTGGAGAGGTTACATCTCCAATCTGGTCCGGGAACGCCTTGGGGTCCTGCCGGAGGAGCTGGTGGAGGTGGCCGGGGAGAGGACGGTCTGGAGCTCTCTAGTTGGGATGCTGCCCCCGCGACCCGGACCCGGATAAGTGGAGGAAGACGACGACGACAGTTAGTTTCACAGTCCAAAAAATGATTCAGCTTCAGAAATATTGAGCATCAACTGATGTTATTAGTGACATTTTAGCATGAAAGTAAGATGGAAAACATTTAGATATCTGCTGTGAAAATTGGCCCATAAAAATCATCAGTACATACTGGCCATTGGCTGACCATGTCTCCCACATATCAGTATAGAAATGATCAAATATCAGTTGGACACATGAAGAAACCATAAAGCGTCCCTTCAAACAGCTGCTACTCTCCCTCTCTCTGTCCAGACTCAGTCAGACTGGTGAACGGGACTAACTGGTGTTCAGGCAGACTGGAGGTGAACCTGAACCAGTCCTGGTCCTCAGTGGGTGAAGATGCTTTTGACCAGCAGGATGCAGAGGTGGTCTGTAGGGAGCTGGGCTGTGGGCCTCCTTCAGTCCTCCAGGGGGCGCTCTTGGGAGAATCAGAGGCTCCAACGTGGAGCAAAGAGTTCCAGTGTGAATGCAACGAGGCTGCTCTGTTGGACTGTGATGGTTCTGATGGAAACGATTCTGGTAAAGCTGTTGGACTCACCTGTTCAGGTAGAGGAGGAGCCGCAGAGCTGATTCAGTTCACTGGTTTGTTTCAATGATTCATTAATTTATCTGTTTTTTTTTTTCTCACATTAAGACAATATCAGGTTGATGGGAGAGGCCAGTCGCTGTGCTGGGAAGCTGGAGATGTTTATCCGGAATGAGTGGAGACCAGTGGCTGGCTGGTCTCCTGCCTGGAACATGAACCTGGGTTGTGGTTCTGTTGTTTCAACAACTACATCAAAGAACTCACCAGAAAGATCTTCGTTTAGGACACGTCTGTCATGTCTGCAGTCATCGTTTCTGTTGGACCACCGTTCACTTCAGTCTGGTGCTGAAGGAAACGAGAGCATCAAGAGGATCTGTTCAGGTAATCCTGACCTCTCCTCATCTTTGCTTACTTTTCTCCAGGTTTCACTAGTTGTTGATAAAAACCCCAAAGCACACGAAGCTAAAAATAAAATAGAGTTGTAAAGGAAACGTTTTATTAATGCTTTTTCATGAAGTCTGTGGTGAATGAAACATTCTCTCATCTCCAACATCTGGCTTTCCGTCAGCTTGATTCAGGCCTGAGAAAGCTATACACCATTGTTTCCCAGTTCACTCTAGCAATTCATTTCAGTTTATTTATATTGCTCCAAATAACAACGAGTCATCTCAAGGACCTGCACACAGTAAACATTCCAGTACAGGTCAGGTCATTAAGCCGATCAGTAACAAGTTTCCTATATAAGAACCCAGCAGGTCGCATCGAGTCACTGACTAGTGTCAGAGTCTTTACAGCTCTGCTCCGGTCAGTGAAGGATCATTAGCTAGTAGGGGTTGTATGAACTAGTCGACAAGTCGACCTCACCGCTCTATAGTGACTTGTTATGCCTGTCATCGACTAGTCGCTGTCACGTGATAATGACCGGCAAGATGCAGTCCTCGGAAAAGACAGCAGGTGAGAAGCTCCTGCGCGTCGGGAGGCGACGCGCTGTGCCAGAGCGTCGGTACTGACACCCGCCGTAAAACGGACATTTAACCAAATTGTGACCTTTACCCTCTTGCAATTTAACCTTCCCCTCACCCCCATCCTAACCTTAACCAGCTAGCGCATGCAAAGCTCTGATTGTTGACGCGCTCCAGACATCTGCGTCCTGAGCGCGGCCACAGTAACATTATCAAATCAGGTGTCGCCACCTCAAAAACTAATTTAACACGCGATTGTTCATGTCGGCTCATCACCTTGTCCTCCGGTGACGCGCCTCACCGGTGCGGCCGGTGCGCGCCCCGCTATTTTAGCGGTCGGTAGATCTTTTACACATGCAGTTCAAAGGTAACTCATAAGATGAATATATCACTGTTAAAAATCCAACTTACAATTTGTTTGGAGAGTTTAAAGTTTTAAGTCAGTTGAACGTTTTAACTTGCAAAATGTTAAGTCAATACAGAAAAAACAGTTATCTCCACTTAAGTTGCGATTTTGTCCACTGACTGTAAAATAAAAAGTTGAGACAACTTGATACTTTAATTAGACGGTTGTGCCTTTAACTTGAAGCCTCTGCGCATGTGCCGTCGTCAGTAAGATATACGGGGTTTCCCAAGCCAGGCAGCCAGTCGCAGAGTGAGCAGGGGGCAGTGTTGCCAACTCGGCGACTTTGTCGCTGTTCCTAACGACTTTTTGACCCCCCTCAACGACTTTTTTTCCAAAAAGCGCCTAACGACAAACTTAGCGACATTTCTCAGGACCCGTTGCTACTTTCATGTAGATATTCCCTACAGATAAGCAACAAAGAAACCGTTTGCACTCTGAACCGTTCTTCCGGGAGTAAGGAAAGAGAACGATAATCTGCGCATGTGCACGAGGACTGACCAATCATAAACCGTTTTCGGCCGGGCCGATTCGCTGAAGCTGCAGAGCTGGAGACCGCCGATTTACGTCTGCTGCTTTCATATTGCTGCAGGCTCACGCTTCTACTAGAGACGGCACGGGCGTCAACCTGCCATCTCTGGTTCTGCAGCCGTCAGACACTTTGGTTTTTCCTGCATTTGGCAAATACAGTCATCGGGAGTTTGAACTACCGTCCCGTTTACACACGCAGCTCTGTGGCTCATCTGAATTTCCTTCAGTGACACAGGGATGGTTATACCATGAGACACCCGCTCCCTTTTGCTCGGAGCGCCGTTATTATCACGATGGAGAGAATACACAACAGAGAAGTTGAGAAACTATGAGGTGTAAAAAAAACAGCTTTTTAGGAAAATGTCTGTGAGAATGAGGAGAGCAGGAGGTCTGAGTTATATCCTACAACAGAACTGTTTGGATCACCACACCATATCTGTTTTAATGCCACTTTATTGGTAGTTTTGGAATTTATTGTACACATCAAAGCAATTTGGGCCATTTTAATCATACTAATTAATAACTTTAACATATAACATAGTTTTTATTTTCCTCCCTTTTAGTCCTATTATATATATATATATATATATATATATATATATATATATATATATATATATATATATATATATATATATATATATATATATTAGATGCCATAGGGAAAACGAACGCTAATGTGGCGTGATGACGTCATCAATATGTAAATAAGCACGTGACGTCATCTGGCGACATCTAGTGACTTTTGGGGGGAACTTCAGCTACTTTCAGTCAAAAACAGTTGGCAGCACTGGCAGGGGGCACCTCGTGTTGGCATCTCTTTGATCAGAAGGTAAGTGCTATTTTATTTGCATTTTTATGTCAAAACAGTCTCAATGAATTTATAAAAGATTTCACATCCCTAACATAAATAAGACCCCTTCAAAATATCCCACGTTTCCAAGTTAAATGAACTCAGTGGAAGTTGCAGGTGATTCAGATGAAGCTAGCGTTACATGATTAACCTTACGGTTTAGGCTGTACAGATTTGAACACTATCGTAAAAGTAAGCTAAAACGCAGTTAAAATGTTAACGAGGTGCCGCGCCGACCGACGGGCTAAAGTGAATGTAGGACGTAAGAGTTTTCAGATAAACTCCCAAGCTGAGCCTGCTCCAGTTATGTCGAGCTAACCTTGCACTCCCCTGTAGAAATCCGCCAAAACCCGTGCACGCGTATTGTCCACATCGCGCGTGCGAACGGGACTCGCGCGTGGAAGTTAGAACCTCACGAGTGAAAATATACATGGTGAGGAGGCCATTTGTACACTCAGAGGGAGCAAACTGTGTCTGTGAGTGCACAAGGATGTGCACAAGTGACAAACCTGCGTGCGCGCATTGGCCAACGAGCACACGGTAGAGGAAAACGTGCGCGCGGCAGCCTTTCTGCTCGCTCGGCTGTTGGGAGTTTTGGCACTCTGGAGGCGTGGAAGAATTAAAGTGCCAGAAATTGAGCACTTGAACTTTCAATTTGAGAGCAGAATTTCTTATCAAGAGACCAACTTTTTATTTTGCGAATACAATTTTATATTATTGCTCTCAAAACTTGTAATGCTTGCACTCAAAATGTCTGCTCTCTTTCAAATTCACTCTGTTCTCCTTCAAATCTTTGTTTCTGCGCTCAGATTTAGCAGCTGTCCAGTCCAAGATGGAACTAAATTTTCACTTAGAAGAAAAGAGATTGTTTCTGAAGTACCTCTGGTGGATGATGTCTTAAAACAGTGGCCAGCATTGTTTTTACCTGATCAGGTAAGGTTTTTTTCCCCTTCAAATAGTTGGTCTTCACTGTTTTAGTTTTTAAATATTGTTTACCTGTCTTAGGTATGTGCTGAGTTTTTCCGAATTACCCGAACTAACCTGAAGCAGATTCTTCCCGTCTTTGGATGAGAATGCACCCAAAATGATCAAGGTGTACCGTGCAAGTGGTGCAGCTTGTGGAGAAGGCATGAAGAGCCTTTTAGAAAAACTTGATGACCAAGTAAGTAATCTAAGCCATTTTTCATATTTTAACTTTATGCTTTTGATTACATGTCTCACATTTGTTTGGTGTCATTGTTTTCAGACATCTGATGTGCTCAGCTACAGAAAGGCTACTGCTCTTAGAGGTCTGCCCATGTTTATGGATAAACATTCTGGGAGCCTTCTGAAAGATTGCCTGGTGAGTAAATGTAATTCAGATGCACACATTTACAAATACTCTGGTAAAAAAATATTGGACTTTAATTAAACACTGATATTTAAACTCGAACCTGTAATCTAAATACTAATAATAATAATCAGATTCAGCAGAAACTAAATCACAATCCAAACACATTTTTGTGTAAAGCCCTACATTTCCTTTTTTTTTTTTTTTTAAGGTTTTGTGGCCACAACAGCCTTTATTTGATAGGGACATGGGAGGAAACGGGACAACCCTTAAAACCTCCAGCAGGCTATGCTGCACTATTGACGTGTTAGCGCGCGGCGCTAACAACTTAGCGACGTGACATGTCTCGGAGAAAGCGTAAAAACACGTTGGACGCTTCTTCTGAAGCGGGAAAATAACACTTCTTCTTAAGCAGAGCACGATGTCGCCTCGGGTCGTTCACCCTCTGCCGAGCCGGACTGAGCTCGATAACATTGACCCAGCACAGCCACTGGGTCGTTGGAGCTGCCCCGTGACTGCCTGATGGAAAACCAGCGGGTTTCATCAGACTCATAAAGTTTCTTGTTTTTGCTGGGGACCCCCTGTATTTATGCTCAGAGAGCTGTTTTTTCCCCCCAACACGGGTAACCAGAAAGTTTCTACTCCCTCTTTTCTCTGCCTCCTGAACTCTGTCTGCCCCCCCCATATATGTATTTTGGTCGCTGCATCGGTATGTATGTGTGTAGGGGATGCTTGTGTGTATGTCTGTTTTGTTTTATCTCTGTTGTGTGTTTAGATATACTATCGCAGTATTTAATTTAGAAAATGCTTTATTTTGTTACCTTTTTCAGTCTGCCTCTTAAGTGTCTGGGTTTGACTGCCTGCCAGAATTGACGCGGTTCGCGGAAAAAATAAAGCAGACGCCGAAATGATTGCTGCACTGAGCAGGCTGGCGCGCCAGCGCGTGCCGTTGCGCAGCGCTTTGGAAGCCAGTGTGACCTACAACATAGAATAACAAGGGCGCTGAATGTATGCACTTAGGTCCTTCAATGTCTGTAGCAAGATGCTGCAGATCTTCTACAAGTCTGTTGTTGAGAGTGTGATCTCTTCAGCCATCGTCTGTTGGGGTAGCAGCATCAGAAGCAGGGACCTGAAAAGGCTCAACAGCCTAATAACAAAGGCTGGTTCTGTTCTGGGGACGACTGTGGAACCGCTGGAGGAGATGATGCAAAGAAGGATTCTCCAGAGAATCAAGACAATGATGGACAACCCTGAGCATTCTCTTCACAAGACTGTCCGACAACGGAAGAGTGTCTTCAGTCAGAGGCTTCTTCAGTTTGGCTGCAACACTGACCGCTACTGGAGATCCTTCCTGCCAACAGCCATTGTAATATACAACAACTCTTTGATGACTTGATTATTATTATTATTCTGAGCTACTACAGCAATCAGTTTCCCTCTGGGATTAATAAAGTACTTTTGAATTGAATTGAATACAGACTCAAACGCTGGTTAAGATCTTAGTCTTTTTTTCCTCTGCAAAACTGTTAAGATGTGGATTTATATGTACCAACAGTAAGTTGTTACATTTAGTTTAAGTTTGTTGTTATTGTCTTTACTGGGCATCTTTTAAGTTTCAGAACCTGGTTCTATTCACTTTTTGATACCTAATAATTTTTTTTAATTAAGATTTCCATGTTTAAGTCAGTGGATTTAGCTGTTCCCACAGACAGCATAGTTTTAATCTCATTTCTTTGCTCTTTTTTTAATAGGACACAGAGCCAGTAGAAGATCAGATTAACTCCATGAAGATGGGAATCTTGACCGTTATTGAAGACGATGTTGCCACCGTCCAGTCAAGCCCAAACATAAGGTTCTTTGCTGTTGTGCTGGAAGAACAGATTGTTGTGGATGAAGTAAGTGACCTACCAACTGCTTTTGCTCTCCTCTTTGGCCTCATCTATGCCCTCAACATGGACTACCCTAAGGAACTAAAATACACTTTTGAGACCATTCAAAAAGTGTTCATGTGCCTTGATCCCAAATGCTCAGCAAGAGTCCAGTCCTTCAAAAACAAGCTGTTACAGTATTGACATTCTAATGTACCGGTCTCCTCCAGTCATTTTCATGGTTCTAAATGTTAATGTTTTTAATCTCACGTTTGTAAGTTCACCATGACCAGTGAAGTTTTCTTCTTCTCTAACATTTTTGCTGCTTTTGTAGTTTATCGCTGCAACTGATTGTTAGTAGTTTCATATTACTTATGGCAGCATGTACTGTATATGCCTTCAATGAAACAAATTAATTGTAACTCAGGCGTTACTTAGCTGTATCACCACATTTCAGATTCATGTGATTTAAAATGTTGAAATCAGATTGGTAACAAAGCATTTGTAAAATTAATCTTCAGCATCCAATATCAATTCTGATGATTTGTCTTTGTTTTGAACAGAAATATGTCTTCATTTTCAGGTCAAAATAACCTGGTACTGGGTAATAATTATTGATTTTATCTTGTCTTTATTGCTGAAGCAGTTAGAGCGTTACCTTTTCAAAGATGGAAGTTCACATGTATAGGCTGTAAGAAAGTATTTTACAACACTTGCACTAGCAACTTGTTATATATTTGCCATGTTATTAGTTTAAGTGGCCGATATATGTTATTGTAGTGTTAATGCTCCTATATTGGTAATGAGATTTTGAATTTTACACATTTTGTAACCTTTTTAAATGTGCCATTAGCATGTTAATAAATACATGCATGAAATTGGAATATTCCGTTTTGTGTTTTTGATGAAAGTGTTGTTTGTCAGCAAAATGTGGGAAGGACTGCACAGTTGAATGAGTTTATAGAACTGAATTCAAAAGTTGATTCAACGTACAATATTAAAGCAACTGGTTGCAAACCCTTTTTGAGTTCAGTCAACTTTTTGCAAGTAGAAAGTTGTGCCAACTTTTTTATTTAAGTTTATCTGGCCATTGACTCAACTACTTATTCTAAGTTTAGAGAACTATGTATCCCAATTTTGCCAAACTTATTATCGTTAGTTCAGTAAACTCTTTATTCCTGGTTCTACAAATGTTACATTTCAATTTGGTTGTATTTATTATTAAAAGTAAGCATAAAATGCACATATAAATTAGGCTAACTTAAATATGAGACTTGGCAAAGCAAGCACCTAAAAAGTTGACTGAACTTAAAATTGTATTGCAACTGGTTGCTTTACTTTTTTAAGTTCACTGGACTTAATCAAGTATTTTTGAATTGACTTTTTTTTTTTTTTTTTTTACAGTGAATGAAGCGAGGTAGCAGTTTCTCTTAAAGACTGAGAGGAGATGCAGGAAGATGCAGCGAACCAACCGACCCCCCCCCCCCCCCCCACTGCGTCACGTGTATGACGTCATCAACGACTAGACGAAGTCTACTCGAGTTCCATTATTTGACAGTCGACTTAAAAAAAAGTTAAGTCATGCAACTCCTATCAGCTAGCAGTGCCTACACCACGCTCAGGACTATCCAGACTCTTCTCATGCATCGTTCCACAAATGTGGAATGACCTTCCAAGCACTACCAGAACAGGAGCTTCCTTTTCAATTTTCAAGAAACTCCTGAAGACCCTGCTCTTCAGAGAGCATCTTCTAAACTAGCACCCTCCCTGCACACTGCTGCCTCACTGCCAACTAGGACTGATTGTTGTCAGCCTCAAGGGCAACCTGCTGACTTGATTATCACCTGTAAGTCGCTTTGGACAAAAGCGTCTGCTAAAGCATAAACATAAGGTTGTAGACGGTGCTCCATAAATAAACAAATGAGTGAATTACAAACTAGTTCAGCTTCTGAGCTCAGCCTGCCCTGGAGTGGAGGCCTAGGGGCTCACCTGGTTGACTCCCGGAGGGTGATCCTCAGCGCCCCCTCGGGAGGGTGGTGGGGCCTGCTCCGGCAGTGGTCTCCACGCTCCGGGGGAGACCTTGGGATCTCTGGAGCTTGGATCTCCTCCAGCTTTTGCAGGTCTCTGGGGGCAGGTCTGTGGTCCCTCCCACTCACTGTTGGACGCTCCTATAGAGAAGCTTTACACACACACACACGGTGCTCTCACAAGTGTGGACTTGGTTTTGGCACCTCAGCAGCCGATGTGGGGTCTACCCTTCAAAATGTCTACGCCTAAGTGCAGCAAGTTCAGTTCTCGTTCACCAATAATATAAACTAGTTCACAGGGCCGGTTCTATAGGGGCCCAGGCCCCTGTGGGCCCCTGTTTAAAACCGCCAATGCTAGTTCACCAATGGTCGTTCAGTGAACTTGTTCATTCACGAGCGTGCTCCCTGTTCCAGTCATCCCTTTCTCTTCATAAGTAGAGAAGACGTTGGTACCTTGAGTTTGTGTGAACTCATTTTTAAAACCCTCTGAAGGAGAGGGAGGTTGAAAAGGGTTCATGAGAACCTGTTTCTGGTTGTTATAATGAATAATAAATAAACTGACACAACGGAGTAAATCCCACTTTCAGGCCCTCTCTGGTGAGCAGAGGAAACTGTTGTGGATATGCATGCTGGTAACCATGGCAACTGATCTCATATCACTGCCAATGCCTCATCACATTTTCAATGGTTTTGTAATGAAATGAAGCTGTTTCTGTCTTGTTGCCAGACTTGTTGGTGGAGCCACAGATCTCCCTCTCTTCCTCCACTGTCGGGGTCTCCAAAGCCATAAAACAGGGGTCTGAGGTTCCCATTGGCTCAGATTTCAGCATCATGTGCTCCACCAAACCTCAGTACCAAGGCGGTTCCTTCCAGCTCATCTTCATCACTTCCAACTCAACACAGAACTCCGCCCTGCCAGCAGTCAATCACTCCGCCCTCTTCCTGTTCTCCGCTGCAGACCACGCCCACCAAGGAACCTACAGCTGTGTTTACCACGTCTCTGTTTACTCCCATACATAACTTCTGGTCCAGGAGCCAGCCGCTCAGTCTCACCGTCTCAGGTAACTTCATGGAGTCAGTCATCCGGATCTAATCCTACTGCTGGATTTATTATTCAACAGGATCTAACTGCAAACACGTGACTCTACACTCATAAAGCGTTTCGGTACAAAATGCAACGATGAAAGTTTGTTTCATTTCTTGTAAATTCAACTTTCTTCTGAATTCTTCCATCTGCTGCAACACGATCAGTGACGTGCTTCACTTTCAGGCTCTCTGACTGATTTGATCATCAGACTAGTCGTGGTCCTGCTGGGTTTGGTGGGATCAGTCCTCCTCTACTTCTACTTCAAGGTAGTGCACGTGTCATGCACGCTGGATTCGGTTAGGAACGCTGTTGCAGGGATTCTAAAACAGGATCTTTTTACAGACCAGTAGCAGCCAGAAGTCTGGACCAGAGAGGAAGCGTCGCGTTGACGGTTCCAGAGCTGCAGAGAGGAGGAGACAGCCTCCATGAACCAGTAGAGCAGGATCTGGTCAGATGTTACCTCCACATGGAGATGTGAGACCCCCTGATGGTGACATTACAGATTGCTGAGGGTACAGGTAACAGGAAGTTCCCAGCTTCACATCATTCATGGGATGAACAATCATCAGCTTTAGTTCCTTTGTGTTGTTTTCCTGCTGATGCAGCTTTATTTCGTCTTACCCGTGTTAGTTAGCTTACTAGCGTGAAGCTAACTGTGCGTCTGCTGCTGCCTCTGGGCCACCGTGGTTGTAAATGAGGAGGAGTTCTCGATCGACTCATCTGGATAAATGAAGGTTCAATAACATTTCTGTCTGACTCTTGAGCAGAGGCGGAAAGTAACCAATTACATTTACTCATGTACTGTAATTGAGTAGCTTTTTTGTATATTTATACTTTTTAAGTCGTTTTTTAAAATCTGTACTTTTACTTTTAGTTGAGTACGTTTTAAAAAAAAAGTGTAATTCGCTACTAGGGCTGCAACAACGAATCGATAAATTCGATGAAAATCGATTACTAAAAGCGTTGACAACGAATTGCGTCATCGATTCGTTGTGTCTCACAACTCTTCCAAAAGCGCCCCGCCTTCCCGCCCGCCGTTGCGCGCAGACCAGAGCAAGTCTGATCAGGGCAAGGGAGAGCCGGCAGATCAGCGCGAGGGAGAGCCGCAGATCAGCGCGAGGGAGAGCCGGCAGATCAGCGTGAGGGAGAGCCGGTACCGGCAGATCAGCGTGAGGGAGAGCCGGTACCGGCAGATCAGCGTGAGGGAGAGCCGGCAGACTTGCGCTGCTGCGAACCGGTTCCGCATTGTTGCACAGCGATCCAGGCAGCTGCTTCCAGCACACGGTCCATTCTCAAAGTGGCGCAACCAAAAAACTATAATTAGCACACGATCGTTCATGTCCGCACATGTTCTCTATTTTCTGTCTTATTTGTGCCTGAAGCTCGCTACTGCGGAGCTCATCACCTGTGCTGTGGTGATGTCACCTCACGCAGCATCGAAAACGCGCTCTGCGCTTTTCGGTCAGGAGATCCCTTTGATCTGCTCAAAAGTAACTGATGAGGTGAAAAGGTAAGAATCCAGGCAACAGATTTTCTGGAGAATTAAGAGGAGATGCAGGAAGATGAGAGACAGACAGGACAGGAAAATAGTTAAAAAAAAACAAGAAAACAAAACAAAGTGTTGAAAAGTAAAATGTACGTAGATTTATCTTCACTACACGTTTTTACCTATAAAACAATAAGTTATACACATGTAATATTTATACATCTGATACAATTCAGATCACCTTCAAAACTCAGTCACACACCCAGGGCCGTTTCAAGACATTTTGGGGGCCAAGGCAAAATGCCCCCCCCCCCCCCCCCCCCCCCCCAATAACTGAGCTCCCAAGAAGCCTCTGTGTAATTCATGCCCTCTCCAGTAGTGTTAGTTATACAGTGTTTATAAAAGCCCCTCAGACATTACTGACATGTTCTAATATTATCAGATGAAAAACTAAATTATCAGACATGCTGTCTCATCTGCTGCTTTTCTAAACTTGCAAAAAGTAACAAAACCGTTTGAAAGCCACTATTTGTGGATTATCAGAAAGTTTCCATGGAGTGTGGGACAACTTATTTTTTCATTGATCCTATCGTCTAATCTCACAGCTGAAACAAGCATCCTTAATAATCTGTGCACAGGAAGCTTACCGATGCTGTAGTAAAACAAAAGGTATAATAATTTATTATTAATAAAACCTTGTTGCAGCACTAAAGCATAAAAATGAGATTTTGCATTAAATATGCAAAATATTTACATATGAGTTGTTTTAGAGCCCTTTTATTGGCAGAATCTGATATTAATTTAGTTCTTACAAAAAATGGGTCCCAACATGGTTTGTGTGGCGTTGCCATAGTGTGACGTCATAGGCACAGATCCCCTGTCCTCTTGTTTGGAAATGGAAATATGATCACCCTACATTAAACAAACTGTCCACCCGGGCTTTTGCACTGCACAGAGACGCTTCGCTGCCTACGACTGAACGTCAGCTGAGAGTCAGTCTCATGCAGACTGACCAATGAAGAGAGGGCCTCAAGTTAAGACCCCCTCCTCATTGGTCAGTCCACACGAGGTGGGTCAAAGGTTACTCTGGGCGGGTTACGTGTTGTCAGGCATTCAAGTATTGAGTATATTTACTGCATATTACAGTAAAATATTCTGTATGTGACCACATTATGGTGATCCTCGGGTCGTGATGACGGAGCCCTTGAATATTGTTGCCCAGGGTACAACAAAGTGTTAATCTGGCCCTGGTTCCGCCGTCACATTCCCGCAGAAACTGGTTGATCACACCGGGGCCAGACTACTAGCATGTGGCTTTACAGCCACGATGTCCTCAGAAGCAAAAACGCTTTTAAAAGGGAGGGAGGAGTCCTAACTGTTGCTGCAGGCGTGTTGTGTGAGAGTGCAGTTATATACTGGTTAATATATTTTTGGGTTCGGTTGCTTTCATGTGGCCTAATGTGAGTCTATTTGGGATCATTGGAATGATCAGCAGCATTTCTTGATGTGACTTTATGGCAGTTGCCCAGGGCATCATCACAAGGAGGATGGCATTCATTTACTTTTGTTTTATTTGGTATTTTTTCAGTCATTTTTGGAAATAGTGATCAATTTTGATTAATTCACAGCCTATGTTTAATTACATTTAAAATAAATGTTAACAGATGAGATCAAACAAAACAGATGAAAATTGCCCTTAAGCTGTTTAACTTGGACCAAGCATTTTAGGTAACAGATAGATGTAGCTTAGGGTCTCTGTCTATACACCTTATAAGACAAT